TGCCTGGTTGACCATGCCTTTCTATTGGGGTTTTCTTCCCACACCTCAGGTTGACCTACTTCTAGCTTGACCTTCCGATTCCACGCGGGGGGTCTTCCGCCTTGCCCCCTTCTTCCGACCTCTTGACTTAGTATCTGTTTCCTTCCACACCTTTTCACCTTTTCCCATACGCCCTGGCTCTCCTTGGCCAGCTCTATTGCTGCCGATAGTCTCAGCGGTCCCTCTTTTTCAGCACGTCGTGACGAACACGCTCGTCACTTAGCGCCTCCCATACAGGTCTGCTAGTTGATCCTGCATGACCGCATTGTCTCTAACCACTTCTGGAAGGCCAATGATGACAGCTTCCCTGCTCGGGCCCCCCAATTCTCCAGGGGTTTCGTCCCGCAGCTGTGTCAGCTTTAGGAGGGCCCTCATGGCATCTATAGCCGTGCCCTCGTCGGCGAATTCCTTGGTCAATAGTCCCTTTAATCTTTCCCAAGACAAGTGGGGTTGACTCTCCAAGAGCTCCTTCATAAACTCAGAGGCTTTCCCCTTTGTGGCATCGTATGCCAGATACAGGGTTTCGTGGTCTGTGAGTTCATATACAACGGCTCTTCGTGGTCTGTGAGTTCATATACAACGGCTCTTCTCCAGGATTGCCAGCCAGTTTTTGAAATCTTTCCCACTGCCGTTAAATGCTGGGACCCTCGGTCCACCCAACAACCTTCTTAGGTCAGCTGACAACCCTTGTCTAACCCCCTCTTCATCCCACACTGCTCTATCTGAGTCATAGTCCGACATATTTAAAGAGAAAGACAATCTACGCAGCAACAATCAAGGTTGGGAAATCAAAGTGTCCTACAGACGATTCTGTTCTCGTTCCTAGCCGTGTGTGTGTTCTGCTGATCACCCACGATTCGTCTCGCCTTTCTTTCTGCCTTCTTTTCTTTCTTTTCCTTTCTCTGCCTCGTAAATGGTGCCACAATATTGTGACAAGTATTTATATTTTTTTCTTTAATTTTTAGCTTTTGGAGTTCTCATGAATATTCATCAGGTTAATGGAAAGTCAGGCAAATTCATGGACAGGTAATACAATTCAATGTCTAATAAACGAAACTGAATAGGTGATTATGTATATAATATATATATATATATATCATAATTTTCTCAGCATGAATAAACTAGTGTATTTTTATATTGTGTACGTTTATTCTCTTAGAAGTTAGAAAAATTCAGTATTTTATCACATTGTAACAAAAAGATGATTAAAAGGTTTCTTATGAGAAGAGATGCCATTTTAAACTAAACAAACATTTAAAACCTATAGTAAAAATGTGGCACACATGAGACACATACATTTTGCATTATATATTATATTCCTTTTTATATATTATATATTATATTCCTTTTTTGATCGTTTGCATGTCTTTTCAGTCCACTGGCTAACTTGGTATACTTGTCCGCAAATGTGACTTGTGTTTTCAAGTACTTAATACAATTTTGTAATTGGTCGGAATTCTGATACGTTTACGTTGCATAAGACTTAATTTTGTTACTTCACTCAAGATATTTTCGGACACTTCAGATTTTCTTTTGCGATTCTAGAACTCTTGAAGGAAAGCTCTTCATTATGAATCTTCTTCCTCCATGAAGCAAACTCATTTGCATGGGACGCACAATTATCGCTTTTTATTTTCCATAAAAATAGAGAGGACAGTGCTGTTAATATATTTAATATTGCCTAATGACATTTGGTGATGGTTGAAGCGTGATTTTCAATCCTTTTCAGTAGAGCCCAAATAGAATTTGATCTTGCTATCGTATTTGATGTTAGCTTTATAAACTAAACCTCTGTTCATGCATTTAACGTTTAATGGGCAGATTTTGATTTTTGTACAGTTGCAGTTCCTAATTGTGGGTGTGTGTTAGTTTTTAATATAACATTGTTGTGCTGTCATATATATTGGTCGATGTTTTTAGCACAACTATAACTAACTTTGACGTTGTTTTTATTGAAAATCATTTTTAGCGTTGGGTAATGATTGAAATACTTATTGATTAGATTGAGAAAAATTGACATTCGGTGTTTAGCCTTGTTAACTGTAGGCGATCTGGGATTGCAAAGGAAATATTTATCACAGATTACTTCCACAACGCAGAGAATAAATCGCTAAGTTCAGACTCGAACATCGGGGGCAGAAAGAAATGCCGAAAACTCGATTCGCAGGTACTATCTCACAAATCACAATGCACACAACCAGTCAGAAAAATAACTCACTCTCCGACAAACGTGATAGCCAAAATACCCCACTTCTCCTCGATTCGAGGACACCAACTGCTTTTATCGCCGAGCATGTTTTCCATTCGTCGACAACTGGGAGAGGACGCTCAATTTTTGCATATCAAAATACTTTTACAGCGATCCCTGCGACTGACTTGTTTTTTAATTTAAATATTCCGTCTTCAGTATGTCATGCTGAATACGTGCCCTTTCTTTTTGCAAAGTAATTTTCTTTTTCGACACATTTTCCGTCGTAGGATACACGCGACTCTCTGTCGCTTGGTTTGACGAGGTAAGTCACCGTTTTCTTCGCTATATTAACATCATTATTGTTAGTGCCTAAGAACTCGCAGTTAATTTTAGGGATTAAAGTGCTCAATACCAAGGATAGAGCATATGTAAATAAAAAAGTAGACATTGGGGTCTTCAGTCTTGAAAATTGCGTTTAAAATACTTTCGAACTCTTACAAGGTTGACGATTAGGCAGCAGCAGGCCATATGTAGCAGCAATATACCATATTTCTTCTCTTTTGGCTCCAAAACTAACATCAAGAAAAAAATGTCTTCATATGGTTATGGAGGGAAGAAAAATGAATATGACATGGAAGAAAAACTAAACAAATGTTAACTTCACTTTAGAAAGTTTCAGATATTTTAAAAGGCATTTATTAAAGATATTGACAGCCTTTAATTGGAAGATTGTATATTTTCTATATATATTTGACCTTACAATTTACTATAATTGTTAATGTTAACATAGAGAAAGAAGTAGAGAAACAAAATAGACTAACTATAGAGATAAAAAAACTGTTTAGCTATTCCTTTTATCGGTAAAAATTCAGCATTGTAGCGGACCAATTAGTAGAGGAATGCGTGACTATGGGTTAGTATGAAACAAGTTTATGATTGGGAATCATAGGAGAGATTGAATTCAATATTTTCAGGAATAATTTTCAACACATTTTTATATAAGGAAACACAAAAGTTACAAAAAATAAAAATATTCTCGCGTACACATTTATATGGTTAACCGTAATAATTTAGTGCATGCATATGGCATATGCCCCACAGAGAAGGGAAGACTGTAGAAGTTTTCTAGCTACCGCGTTCTAGAACGAAAAAGAGAGAAAGAGAGAACTATACCCGTTCTTTTATACCCATAAAACCGCACTCCCTAGTGGGTGACTTGGCAGACAGTTTATAGGTAATCTCCACAGTTTGCATCTTAGTGGCATTACCGCCATCTTCTGTCTTTTACTGGCATTTCTTCTCACTAACTTCTTCTCGTTCTCTTTCACCGTAAGTAAACGCTTGCGTCTTAGTGGCATTATCGCCATCTTCTATCTTCCTATAACCTGTTCTTTTATTGTCCTTTCTCCTCACTAAATTCTTCTCATTCTCTTTAACTCTCAGCAACCACTTGAGTCTAGTTGACTGTATTGCATGTTGTTTTACCGACTTCTCTGTTTATTTTAATCACAATAACTCCTTGCGTCTTTGTAACTTTTATTGTTTTGGATGGTGTGAAATGATAAAAAAGTTTATAAACGTGTGATTGACTAAAGATTTGTTCTTACTGTATATCTTATTAACATCATATTTCTTCCCTTATTAATTCGAGAAAATAGACGGTTTTATTCCTTTTTTATACTTTATCGCCTAATATAAACCCCAAAAGCCCCTCAAGATAGAGGATTACAGAATGAGGTTGTTACCAGACCGTAAATGATGGAAGTAAGAAGCACATATTACGAGGATAGTTAGGATAGATAACACTTAATCCTTAACTTGAAGATTACTCGAATAAACAGTCATTTAATAGCACTCAGTTAATAGCATCCCCCCACTAAGGGCACGATATCGCCCCTGCTGAGAATTATTGCACTAGATACTGACTGATGGCGTAAAAGAGCCAGAAGTGGAAAACAAATAAAAAGAAAATAACATATATATGTATGTTTGGGTGTGTATGTGTGTAGGTGCATAAGATTCTCAATCAGTAAAAGCAACGCGTTGTCAGTTGCAGGCGGTCCATTGATGAGAGATTCTTTTCTTGGAAAAAAAAAACAACTATTGGCTTAAACAAGCGGCAACAGTTCTTGACATGAAAAATAAAAGCAGTTCAACTCACGAAAAGAGCTATTAAAACGAAGCAAAAGATTGTAAAAAAAAAGAAAAGCGAACTCAGACTCAGAGAAGAAAATGACATTTACTTTCCTGGGTAATGGATTTTCATGTCTCGATTAACGCAAGAAAAAAAAAATTCTTTGGTAACCCGGGTAATTATTATATCACTCAATATATGTCGATTGCGGGCGTTTCAATAGACATTTGCGGCGTTGCCAGAAAAATGAAAAGATAAGATATAATAGCAAGAGACAATCCTTATTAGTGAATAGCAGACGCCATTATTTCAGATGTATTGATCGTTTTGTATCTTGAAAAAAGTGTTCGCCGATATTTTATTGTAGTTTTCTCGCTTTTGCTGCTGACATTGGTGTGAAAAAAAAGGCGGGAAGTTCAGTTGTTGAAAAGAAAAGAAAGAAGAAATTTGAGATCAAACTGAAGAAAACGGAATGTAAAGACCAATGGACGAAATACAAAAAGAATTCGCTATCGTCAACCGACGCAGCTCTTGGATAAGAAAGCATTCCTAATTGAGAGATCTTGTCCAATATATATATATATATATATATATATATATATATATATATATATATATATATATATATATATATATCTAGATAGATAGATAGATAGATATGAACGGACTAGAATAGATAAATAGATAGATAGATAGATAGATAGATATGAACAGACTAGGATATATATATATATATATATATATATATATATATATATATAGATAGATAGATAGATAGATAGATAGATATGAACGGACTAGGATGAATAGATAGATATGATGGACTAGGATATATAGATAGATATGAACGGACTAAGATAGATAGATATGAACGGACTAAAATAGATAGATATGAACGGACTAAGATAGATAGATAGATAGATATGAACGGACTAAGATAGATAGATAGATATGAACGGACTAAGATAGATAGATAGATATGAACGGACTAAGATAGATAGATAGATAGATAGATAGATAGATAGATAGATAGATAGATATAAATAGACTGAAATAGATATTTATCTATGGAATAAGATGGTGCTGATCTCTCAGTAAGCTGTAGGTACTTAATTTAAATAGTTATGACAGCAAAATACTTCTACCTGAACAAAGAAATTTAGAACGAAAAGCTCAGACACGATTCTAAGAAAATTAGAGGATGTCCTGTATTTATGATCAATGGGCATATCCTTAGAATATATAGAAAGTCTATGACAGATTCAGAAAGAAAACCTACATACCTATTAGACAATGTATCCAATGAAAGCATGGCGGAAGGTCTAAACAGCAATTTTTAAGAAGACGTAATGCACAGATGATGTTTTGGAGAGACTGAAAACGAGGAGGAAGCTTATACTTAACATCAGGAAGAGGCAACTGAAATTTCTGGGACACGTAATGAGAAAGGATGGCTTTGACAATCTGATACCACATGGCAGATGGAGGAAAAGAGAGAGACGAGGGAAAGCAACGCATAGCATAATTGGCGTGCTTAAGCAAATGGTTGACAGAACATGGCCTGGGGGGGGCAGCAAAGGTTCAACACTTATTGAGAGCTACAAGAGTTAGAGGGAAGTGGTGGTGGGGGGCTATGATCGCCTACGTCCTGAAGGGACACGACACAAAGAAGAAGAAGAAGAAGAAGAAGAATGGCATAAAAAACACACACAAAACAGAAAGGATATCATGAACCGAGCGTGTGAGCAACGATGAAATTTTGAAGAGGTTGCAAACAAGGATGAAGCTTATACTTAACATTAGGAAGAGACAGCTGAAATTTCTGGGACACGTAATGAGAAAGGACAGCTTGGAGAATCTGATACTCACAAGTTGAATGGAGGGAGATAGAGAGAGACAAGGGAAAGCTACGCTTGATATAACTAGCGGGCTTAAGCAAGTGGATGACAGAACGTGGTCTAGGGGAAGTGTCAGAGGGACGAAACTTATTGAGAGCTGCAATGGATAGGGGGAAGTGGAGAGCCATGATCGCCTACGTCCTGAAGGGACACGGCACATAAAAAAGAAAGGATAATGCATAGTTATAATATATCAGTTAGGACCGGGAATATGATTATCTGGTTCGTGTAGTAGATAAGAATATAAAAAAATAAACAAACCTTTCTGATATTCTGCAAGCTAATAAATGGCCCCAAACAATATGATATGCGAAGAAATGAATTCTGGATTGCGATGTGAGGTCTGATGATCAACATAACACTGAATAATATTTCGTCACAAATAACGAAAAGACTTGAAACGATAAAAAGTTGCTCCTACCTACGAAAAAAGAGAAGAATATCATGTTCAGAGCATATAACAAATGAGGAAGTTTTTAAGCTGACTGTAGCTACAAAGTAACTGCTGCTCGAATTTAGAATGTGACAGCTGAACGAGGAAGACGTAATAAAGATAGAAGGCTTAGAGAATTTAACACTCAACTACAGGAGTCTGCAATCTACGGCAAGCTATCTCCAATGGCACGCAGCCGCAAAATGACATCACGTAATCCGAACCAATAACTACCACAAGAAGATATTTAAAGGTTTCGAAATGGCTCAATCGTTGGACTCCCATTAATAATAAAAACTTTAAAAAAAACTTTTAAAAACAGTTTATTTCTATTAATGTGGTTTACATATTATTGGATATATTACTATATAAAATATGTACCTTCACTTGTATAAAAATACGTATGCTGTTGGCACACTGAATGATTTTAAATCCCTAAGTCGGCACATAGTTAGCAAAAGGCTGCAGACCCCTGACATAGAATAATATCTCAATATAGTCTGTTGCTGTTGATTTTGAATTAATTCCTTTGGAAAAAGGCATGAATCTATTCTCCCCCAAATAGTAACATTCTTTAACACAAGCAAGGCAACTAGCGTAGGACATTAGTTGACGACGTGCGGCACGCGTGCCACACACGGTTCACCAAGCAATTTCCAATGGCACGCAGCCGCAAATGACATTATGAAGTCCGAACCAATAACTACTACAACGCAAAGAATATATTTAGTTGTTTCAATTTTAATATATACTAAAGTATATATACTATATATTACTATGTAAAATATATTGTAGAACAGGTATATTGACCTTGACTTGTATAAAAATACGTACGGTGAAATGATAAAAGTCCATGGACTAATGATAAAGATATGACTCTTATACACGGTGGGGCGGTGTTGGAACAATGTCGACCCAACTCATATTCCGAAATTTTATCAAATAATTAAATATCAGCGTTTTTAGAATACATTTTGAGTAGGAAAGAAATCTTTTTCACTTTCTCCTCGCTATAAATAGCAATGCAAAAATATGATTGGGAAGGAATGGTTGTTCATTTAGAACTATGCAAAAGATTTACATTTAAATATACAGCCAACTGATTTAAAAAAGAAATGCTAGGAGTTGTTTTAGCGAATATTAAAAGTAGAAACTTTATAAATTCATAAATTAATCCTGGCCAAAATTAGATGATAGTATTTAGTTACTAAAAAAAGCCTGAAAATAATTTTCAATTAGAAAGTATTGAAGAACATCTGAAAGGGAGTGAAAAATGAATAACGACCGGGACCCCACACGAGGAGAAAAAATGGAAATTAGAGTATGAAACTTTATAATAGGCCTCATAATTACAAGAGTACTTGGATCAGTTCTGAAGGCCTTTATAAAAAGCTTCGAAGAAGTTGAAATCCAAGGAAGAATTGACAAGAACATTACTAAATAGGTAAAAATATTTTGGAGGGTGCCCGAGCTTCAGGGAGTTTTTCTGGTTTTTGATCCTCATCGTTAAACACTAAATAAGCCAATTCAGTGAAGAAAATAATAAAAGCAAGATTGGTGAAGACGAGGACAAATTGCTGTACAAAAGAAAAAAAATAAGTATAATATGTAATGATAATCCCAAGGCACGTGGTTAGAGCATTCACATTTTAACCATGAGACCCGGGTTCGAACCTCGCCATGGTTGATTTGTCAGGAAGGAGACTTCTTGATGTTATCAGACAGAAGGGGTCGTTCCCAGCCTGCCGCACCTTTGGAAAGTGCCTGAAAACCATACCATGAAGCTTATACTCAAGCTTTGTGAATGAAATTGAGTAGATGGAACTCTTGGGGGCCGTCGATAGCTGTGCTAGCACGAAGCCACAAGTCATCGTGGCCGAGAGATTGAGCGTGTTGGCCTAGTTCAAATTGTTGATAACGCTAAATAACACGCTCTTTCCCAGAAACTGTACTTAAGACCTGATCAGCATAGTTGCAATATAAACCACAGTTGGGCTTTGTGGGTGTTGAATAAACACAAATGTGCCTGATCAAGCGTCCGCAGTAGGAATTGGCTAGCCGCTCTAGTAGACGGGTATCCTCGAATATTAGTCGCCAGCTATACGTATATAATCCCTGTTGCAGACGCCTGCTCAGGCATATTTGTGTTCAGCTTGAGGATAACGTGAGATTTATGCTGCAGTATTCATAGTAGGCCTTAGTAACATTTTCTGAAAAAGAGCGCTAAACCTGACGTGATAAACAGTTTGAACATAGCCAGTACGCTCAAACCTTCGTTCACAATGACTTTTGATAGCACAATCATCGACGGATTTCACTCACAGAGCTTTGGTGATTCCATATGATATGATATCAGGCACTTTCCAAAGGTGCCTTATGGTCGGATTATCTCCATAGGCCGATATTATCGAAAAGACCGACTTGAGAAATAGACCATGCTGAGATTTGAACCTGGGTCTCACAGTTTCGCTCGTCCACAACATCTCAAAATAGTCACTATGAAATTAATGAAGCAGCCTTGGAAATAAAAAGTGAAACATTTTTGATCCAAACAGATATCTTCACCTAAGCAAACAGACTGTATTAATATGAAGATGAAAAATATTTTGTCAGATTATCGATATGGTTGTTCAAGCGAATAACAGATTGCAGGATTTTCGTCAGAATCTTTGAGATGAGGAATTACCATTATTATTTACGGATTTATTCGGACACCTGTCCTCATTTTGGCTATTATAGTCACAGCGTTTTCGTCGTAGTGTCCGGCTGTCTTTTTGAGGGGTCAGGCATAGTTGATAACCTGAAAGTTTCAAAGTGAATTCTTAAATCCAAAAAAGTAATGTTGTGTTGTTTAGTGGTGAATACATAAAAGCGATAACACAATTATAAATTAGAAGCACTAACTGATACAGGTTATCTCCCCTTATATGGACAGCGGAATTAGAACAAACCACCCTTGAATAAAGATTTCGGTTAAAAATTACCCGAAATTTATTAACTAGGATTGACCCCTGAAAAGGTTAGTTAGCAAAATGGCTGATAATTTTGGACTATATAAAAAATATTAAGGGCATTGATACGAGTAAATAAAATAAATGAGGAAAACACCAGGACCTTGCACGATAGCTGAATGTGCTGTGGATTATTAGGGAAAAATATTCTCATAGTAATTACCATCGGGTCAGTTCTTTTGAGGTCTACGATAATACTGGGGAGAGTGCTGGAATTTAAAAATAAACTTCATGTCACCTGATCGTCAAAGGTAATTATCAAATTCAACTGTTTTCCATATGCAAATCAACAACTACAGCCATGACGATTGTACTAGTTAAAACTAGCGCACTGTGAACAGAGTTAAGATTAAAAGAATTGGAAATTCTAACAATTGCTTGAATAAGGAAAAATGCAAAAATATAGGGTTAGTGGTTTTGGGATATTAGGATATTTGCTGTCTCTCATTTGATCTCAAAACATCGTTGACTGTTACAAGTGCGGGGTTGTTACGAATAATAATAATAATAATAATAATAATAATAAATAAATAAATAAATAAATGAATAACCTGATGTTACACCCCCCCGCATGATCTTAACTGATTGGAAGAGTTAGCCTGTACCTATTTTGTCTTTGTAAGTTAATACAGAAAATATTTCATTCGGTACCTCGGATTTGCTTATCAACAGCCTGAACTTAAACCATTATTTACATTCGATCTGT